GTGTTACTGGCTAACTAATCATAACAATTAGAACCACTCAATCGAGATTCGTGACTCGATGTTTCCTACTCAGATATATTAAATTGTTCATAGATTAATATTTGACATTACGTTTCTTATATAAAGGACATACATTGATAGAAAATCAGTCGTGGCTCAGGTATTATTATGATATAATTTAGTTAAAGTATCTCAAAATTATATGAAGTCTCAATATTTTATTAATTAAATATTTTTGATAAATTTGGTATGTTGTACCTTTTGTAAGATATAAGAATTTAGAATACAATGTATAATATACATATTATTTAAATTTTTTAATTCAACTATTACAACATTTCAATTTAAAAAAAAGTTGATATTTAGTTTTAAATCTTATTTTATTTTAAGCATATTTAAATAATGGCGTAACAATGGAATTACAACTAATACTCACCATACTTGCATTTACCTTCATTGCACTGTAAATATAACTAAATTAAACTAGCATTAATATATTATTAATTATGTAATACCCTTACCAAGGTTTCTGAGATGGTGGTTCACGTACTGGTCACGCCACGGTGTACCAGGGCCAAACTTCATGGAGTACGAGCTGCTATACACCATACACCACGACTACACCGTAAAGGCCGTACAAAAGTACGGTCGTGTGTACGGCGCGTATACGGTCACCGGGAGGATGTTGGTGGTAAACGAGCCCGACCTACTCCGGGACATATTGGTCAGAGATTTTCACGTATTCGCCGATCACAGACACATTGGCCCAGGGTCGGAAAAGGTGAGCAAGCACATATACTTCATGCTGGGCGACGACGATTGGAGGCGCGTGCGATCCATAGTGTCCGCGGCGTTCACGTCGGGGAAAGTGAGGGCAATGATGGCACACGTCGACCACATTTGCAACACTTTTGTCGACAATCTGGACGCGTATCAAAGAAAAGGCATTTAAGGCTTATTTATATTTTTATGTCTACTTGCATTTCAATGTATATTTCAATTGGACCCAGGTGAACCAGTAGATATACGACGATATTTCAGTGCCTTTATCATGGACGCTATCAGCGCCTGTGCCTACGGCATAAACCCCGGGTCCATAAATAACCTCGATCATCCCATTGTGACCCACGCTAAACGAATGTTAAGCGAGGTTGGTGGTTTCCGTATCCTATTGTTGTTGTTAGCACCCTGGTTAGCCAAACTTCTAAAGGTAGAGCTCTTTGATACAAATTCTGTTGACTATTTCGATGAACTGACCAAGCAAATATTGAAAGAGAGAAAGGCTATGCGTAAGCACCTTGGTGTTCAATGTAAGTGCGTAAGCGTGGTATTTTTAAAGTATGCCTTGTTTATTATATTTAGTTTATTTCACATCACATTCATTATCACATATTTATAGCCAAACGTCGCACAGATTTCATACAATTGATGATAGATTCGGAAAAGTCGGACAACGACTTGGGCTATAATAACAACATTGATGGGGAACCGGACCCCGAGTCGACTGACACCGCGACCAAAAGGCCTACGAATGGTAAGATGACGGCGGATGAGATGGCCGCTCAGGGCATCGCGTTTTTCTTCGCTGGATTCGACACCACCGCTGCCGCCCTAACTCACGCCATATTCTACCTGTCCGTTCACCCGGAGTGTCAACAGATATTGTATGACGAGTTGAAAACGTGCGAAGATTTTACATACGAAACGTTGGTTCACTTGAAGTACTTGAATGCAGTGATCAATGAGACCCTACGTCTGACCCCATCCATAACCCGCATGCAAAGGGAATGCCTACAGGACTACAATCTTGGGAATACAGGTAATAATAACTAGATAAATTTAAGCAGGTTTAAAGCGTACCATTAGATTTTGCCTAAATGTAAATTACAATAATATTGTAATATTATACCAGTATAACCGTTTTCTATGCAATAGGTATAACTATACCAAAGGGCGCATCCGTCGAAATATATCCCTACGCTATACACCAGGATCCGGACTACTGGCCCAACCCTAACGACTTCCTACCCGACCGGTGGTTTAAGCCCTCACACCATCCCTGCGCGTATTTACCGTTTGGCGGCGGACCGCGAATATGCGTCGGACAACGGTTTGCTATAAGTGTTATGCGAGTATGTCTGGCCAAGCTCATATATAAATTCGAGTTTACCCTGGCGCAAACACACAAACTCGAGTATTACTTGTGCAACCCAGTAATGAGCCCTAAAAAATTGCAAGTTAATCTAATAGCTAGAGCATAGATTAACATTCATGGGCTAAATAGCATTATTGATGTTTATATTATCATATTTTAATATTAAATTGCAGTATAACGACGAG